TGTGCCGGAAGGGCGTCAGGACAGCATTGGGGTGGGATTGGGGTGGCCTTTGGGCCGGTCTGCAGAGGCCCTTAATCAATAGAAGATAGTCCAGAAATGACTAATGCACAACTGATTCACAGAAATGAAAGGAGTGATTATGTAAAAAACTCAGTAAGGGAAGACTGAGTTTACCTCTCTCTGGGTTCTAAGGGGACCAAATATAACTGAATATTGTCAACACAATTACAATTTGAGTCCCAATATATCCTTTTAAGAACAATACAATGATTTATATATTAAATGGGACACATTAGCACGCTTTCCAAAGTTCAAAGCATCCAGTGAAGTGCCACTGCAAGACCAGATTGCAGGATTTCTGCTTGTGGCTGCTTAGTTGTACTGCAACATTTGGATACAAATCTGAAAGTCCTAAATAAAAAATACAAAACAGAAGCAAATGAAATATAGAAATTTACCCTTTTGTTTCCCTCCTTAATGTTGTTTGTTATTGTGTGCCTTCAGGTCATTTCCAACTTGTGGTGATCCTAAGGCAAATCTATCACAGGGTTTTCTTGGCAAGTTTCTTTAGAGGGGGTTTGCCATTGTCATCCTTTGAGGCTGAGAGAGACTGACTTGCCCAGGGTTGGTTACCCAGTGGATTTCATGGCTAAGCAGGGATTTGAACCCTGTTTCCCAGAGTCATAGTCCAATGCTAAAACCACTGCATCACACTGGCTCTTCCTAAATACACAACTGAAAATACCACTGCCTTATTTAAAGCAAATAGAGGCCTACTCCTTAACCCTGGCAACTGCAACTGTTATTTAGTTCTAGCTCTCTTCCTCTCCTTCTGAACTCAACTAGCAAGGGTCTTTCCTTAGGGTCTCCCAACCCAACAGGCCATACCATTACTCATAGGGTTTATATGAGCATAGCTGTCCTACAGGCCAATTCATACATTTCTTCTTAAACACTTACTGAGCATTGACTTTAATATTATTATTTATATTGACTTTTAATTACAAGTATGTAATTACCACAATCTATACTTGTTCTATGTCTTTTCACTCTGAGCTTAATGTGTACAGTTCTCTTCCCCACCCTACAACTATATGTGCATAACCACTGTGATGCTATTTCTTATTTGTAGATATCTTGTAGCACCTTTGAGACTAACTGAAAGAAAGAAGTTGACAGCATGAGCTTTCGTAGACCTTAGTCTACTTCCTCAGATGCTTTCTTGTTGTTTAGCTCACTTAAGTCACTTTACTTTTTTTGTGACAGCCAATCTATATGTGAAACTGCTTCACTCTTGTATAAATGTAAGAGGTGTACTTTAACTATGCTGTAAAACACTTGTTTCACTTGAGAGTTTTACTTTCTTAGATTCAACTTTGTTACAATGACAGTTTCCTTTACGCCTCTCTCCTTGGAGAATAAGAATTACTGTTATCTAGGACCCTCACAGTCCTTCTCCTGGATTACTTTCCTTGAGCCTAATTAATAAACCTGCCACCATGGCTATCTATATCCCTCAGGATATCTCTTCACTGTTATTCCTTCACTTGGAGTTCTTCCCAGGTATTAAGTCCCTCACTTCTGGACTTTAACACTCAGTTTCTATCTAGAAACCTCACTTTCCCTCTCAGATCTTCCCTATAACCCTCTCTGCTCTTAGCTCAACCCTATCTGATCCAACAGCCACCAACCAAATATTTTTCATCTTCAGCTTTCGATTCAATTGGCTGCTGCCAGCTTGCTTTTTGGCTATTGCTAGGGCTGGTGCAGTTCTGCTTTCTCTCCACAACCACCACCAACTTAATAACAATAATAATAATAATAATAATAATAATAATAAATTTTATTAAGATAACACATCATGCACCAGAGAAAGGCGAATCTTGTTTGTGAAAGCTGATGCCATTAGTTGCCTTTATTGTGCTTCCAGACAGCTAACAGGGCTACACCATGGGAAACCATTACAGGTTAATCACTGCATACAATGGATGGATCTAGTTATTCCCAGGTTACTATCACACTAGAGAAATAGAGCAGTTTGACACCAGTTAAACATCCATGGCTCAATGATATGGAATTCTGGGATTTGTAGTTTGGTGGGGTACCAAAGCTCTTTGACAGGGATCACTAAATCTTTAACAAAACTATAAATCATAGGATTCCATAGAACTGAATCATGGCAGTTTAAGTGGTGTCAAACTGCTCTATTTCTGTGGTGTGAATACATCCTTAAAGAAGAGTGCACTGAAGTCAACTGGTTAGTAATAGTAAGCCTCTTGAGTTCAGTGGACCTATACACTGCTCAAAGAATGCAGTTTGACAAAACTTTAACTGCCATGGTTCCATTACACAGAATTCTGGGATTTGTACTTTTGTGAGGTATCAGCACTCTTAGGCAGAGAAGGCTAGGAAAGGTGAGAAGAGGTAGAGAGAAGGGTAGGAGAGAAGAGGTGTTAAGAGGAATAGGGGAAGAAAGAGAATTGGAAAGGAAAGAGAAGAGAAGGAGAGGTTTGAAGGGACATGGCCAGAGTAGGAGTAAAAGGAAGAAATGAAGGGAAAGAAAAGGAGTATGTATGGGATAAATAGAAAGGAACAAGTATTATAAAATTAGATTTTTTTTTAAAATAGGGATAGTTAGAGATATGTAGAGGCATTGACATTGGTACAAGTCAGTGTTGGTGGACCTATGGCACACCTGCCATGGGTGGCACGCAATGCCATTTCTCCTGACACATCACAGGGAGGAGGAGGAACAGGCACGTGTGCACCCATTGCTCCTCCTCCCTGCCATTTCCCAGCCTTCAGCTGTCTCTCTGAGGCAGCTGGAAACCAGGAAAAGGGCGCTGGGGAGAAGGAGCCATAGGCATGCACCTCTGGCTTTTCCTTCCTGCCATTTCCTGGCAGAAGAAGCCACAGGCACATCCCTATGGCTCCTCTGCCCTGCCTTCTCCTGGTTTCCAGCTACCTCTCTGAGACAGCTGGAAGCTGGAAAAGGGGGAAGAAGTCCCCTATGGAGGGCAAAAGTCCCACCCCTGGTGGTGCCAGAAAAACTTTTATTTGGGCCACACGGCTCCAAAAAAGTTCACCATCACTGGCATAGGTTTAGATTTAAGGCATAAGGAGTAGTGTTTAGTTTTATTATATTAAGAATATTATACTCAGTATGATAGGAGTTTTTGGACTGGTGATGGTGATAGGGGAATAATAGGGAGGTGATGGTGATGTTGTATGAATATAAGATTGTTATAATAGATGAATAATAATAAATATTATTTTTTAAAAACCCAACAATATTTCAAAAAGCAAACCTTGATTTTGCTATTTTTATGTAAGGGAAACCATTTCACTATGCCATTGCATATAACAGGACTTGAGCATCCACAGATTGTGATATCCACACCGGGTCCTGGAACCAAGCCCCAGCAGATACTAAGGCCCATATATAAAGAATGTATTTGTACATATATAAAGAATATATTTGTTAATGAAAGACACATATATTAATATGGAAAAGAACAGTATGGTTCAATAACAGGAAAATGGTTCAGCGTTACATCCAAACTGGCTTTGAGGTATAATATAAAATATAGTTAGCAGAAAAAAGTAAACTATTTTAATTTTTAATTAAACTATTTGAGAGGCAGGTGTAATGTTTAAAGCTGTTCCATCTTACCTCACTGATATAAATACCAATATCATCTTCATCATCAGTTCTGTAGCAAACAGTAAGCCCAAACTTGTCCTGGCTGTTCACTCGATGCAAATCTACTTCCTAGGATAAACAAATGAGACCCTGGTGAGTGTCTGTCTGTTTTTCAAAATGTGTGAAAATATTTTGCTTAAGTTGTCTACTGTTTCTTTTTATGTGTTTAAAATGATTGCGCTAGGTTAATTTACTGAGCTTGAAGTGAAGTGATTATGTGTACACAATCAATACTCAGGGCAATTGTGACTCTTCCATCAATATGAAGTCATTTTAAAATTACACTCTTTTATTGATCATACAGAAGAAAAACGGTTAGTCTTTTATGGAGTGGAAGCACTAGAAAAGATCAAAGCATTTACAAACTTCTATTTTTAGTGCTGCCAAGTCTTCCAACATTTTCAGAGTCTTGGAAAGAAGTAATCTCATTCATGAAAAGAGATGAAAATGGATGAATGAATACAGTACTAGATTCATGTATTATAGCCCCCAACTCTTGCATTGATTGGCTACAAAATGTAATGTTAGGCTGATTCTTTAAATATGTTCTTCCTTTGCTGAAAAGGTAATTTTGAAAAACAAACAAACCTGTTTTAACACCATGCTCGACCATTTATTGCATATAAATGAAATGCAGATATTATGTATTCCCCAGGCTATTGGCATGAAAATAATTTTTTAAGTGCAGTTGCCCCTCCATTTTTGTGGACTTTAAGTCTGTGTCCCTTGCTCATTCGCAGTTGGGAAATGGAGAAGGATAAAATGGGGTGTGTGCCACAAGCCTATGGGGCTTGTATATTTGTATTTTTACATTTTCGCGGTGTGTGTGTCCAGAACACATCCCCTGCGAAAACAGAGGGGCAACTGTAGTTGTTCCCAACTTCACCTCAGGGTATTGGGACTAAACTACTCTGTTTCAATGGGTCCAGCAGACAACTAACCTTAACTTAACTAGAATCTCATATTCTAGCAAATGCTATATAACATATACTGGGATTTTACATTGATATTATGGGATACCTCAACACAAATGTGAAAATTAGGGTTTAGAAAAAGGAAGAATTAAGCTTAAAATAATTTTACTCCTTCTAAAATGTTAAGAAAAAGAAAATATTCCTGTCTATGAAAAGCTAATATGGCAAATATATCCAAGTTAAGATTCTTCATAGTATGAAGTATGAAATCATAACTGCCATATATTTGATTCAGAGTTCTGAGGTTACATCAGAAGGATGGAATACTTTAAGGGAAAATGTTCTTACCATTGCCCTTTCTTGTTTGTAGGATCTTATGAATTGCACAGACAAGTAAGTGGGCTAATTAACATGTGACATTATATTTTTGCCAAGGAATAGTCTTATCTAATCTTATCTAATAGTCTTCACCTGTGCTAGAGTATAAAGGCAATATACTTTTGGCATGCCCTTTGGAAATATTTGCACATTTGCTTTCCCTTTTATTTAAAGTAATTGTTATTATTACTTTTTGGATTACCTCATGAAGGCAAACTTGTGTGGTCGGACAGTGAAATGGAAGGGTTATTCTTTTATTTGAAAGCAAGGATGATGCCCTTTCATCACTGTAAAGATGTGCAACTAAAAACATAAGACAAGCCAGGTGGTTTCAGGCCAAACACACATCTGGTCCAGGATTGTGTTTCAATTGGTTACAGGCATTACACAAGCAGAACATGACTGCAACAGTGCTTTCCTGTTTTTGTTTCATAGATTGTCAAGGGCTGGACCAAAGACATTTTTCTACCAAAAACAAAGGCCAAGATGGCATCTCTTTCCCTCAGCACCCCGTTCAATATCCAGGACTAGTGATTGAGTTTCATATCAACATTGGTGGCAAAACAGCATCCTCTACTGCACGTAAAGTCAACATGGCCATAAAGAAGGTGTGGATCAGGCCGCATCAGATCACAAAGCTCTCCCTCCAACATCTTGCCAAGGGTCCTCACCCCAACAGCCCCTGCCGCCTGAGGAAGGTGCCTCACTAGGAATAGGGATAGC